GGGGGGTGGACTCTGGTCCTCCTACATCTGGACACTCTCTTTCCCCCCTGTCCCCCTTACCTCCTATTGCGGATGACAACCGAGTGCGCCTGGTTTGGAGTTCTACATCTATCCTAACTATTTTAACTTATGAGCCATTCTGCAAATTTGAGCTTGCCTCCCTCTACCACTGAGACCATTTTACTTCCCTGGCCTCAGGTTTCTGTGAACCATTTTCGCCCTGTTGCTCTTTCGTTGCTCTGAAGGGCCTTCCTTTTCCAATCTGCTGCTATCGATCTTCGAGTCAGCATCTTGAAGGTGGCTTTTATCTCCGGGTCCGACATCATTCTTCCTTCAAACAAGACTCGGTTCCTCTCCATCCAGATAACCCAGAAGCCCACTGCTCTGACAGCCTGTGCCACATAGCCCCAGCCCTTTCTGAGTTGAAGGTTGTCAGGTATCCCTCCCAACAGTACCCACTCCCTATCCCATTTCAGTGTGCCTCCTGTCCAACCCTCCCATTGCTCTCCCCACCACTCCCAAATCCTTTTAGATGTAGGGCAATCCCACCAATTGTGCGGGGTCGATTCGAAGGCCCACTGACATCTCTTACACTGTGTTTCCACAGACATTCCCTTGCTGATTAACCATACTGCTGAAGGGGTGGCCAAAAGTGACTCCAGCCAAACTAAAGTCGCTGCTCTTTAATTTGGTGCATCCGTCAGCTGCTCCCAACTGTTGTGGATGTCCCGGGCTATCTTCTCAGCATCTGATGGTATAACTCTACTCCACCTTTCCGTAGCTGCCATCAGGTGAGTTCTAGCTGGCGCTAGTACTTCTTGTGCCAGGCTTAGAGAGAACTCATCGATTCTTATATGTTCACCTCGCGGTCGGTCCTTTGCTCCTCCATGCCCACTGGTTCGGGTCCACTTTCAATTTATTAATTGGTTTACCGTTATTCCAGATCCAAACTTTCCAACCTCCTTCTTCTTCCCACATTTCCTTTACTCTTATTTCCTTCAGTCTTCCCCTGGGTAGTGTTATCAGTTCCTCCTCTCCCTCTGCTGTGTCCAATTCCCCTTTAGCCCCCGCCAGCCTCCATTGTTGATATTTCCTTCCCTGTTCCTCCGACCGTTCCACGATTTTGAGGAACACCCGTGTCTGTGGATCTTCTTGGCCTGGTTCCGTGTATTGTTCGAACCAGGTTCCTATCGAATCTGGGTGGTCTGGAACCAGTATGCTCTGCCATTCTCTCGGTAGAGCTTCCAGGACCTGTCTTCTCCTCCGTTTCGTGTATCTGCCCAGGTGCAGCTTCATTTCCATCTCTTCCTCCGAACACCACGTGCCTGTCACTTCGTCCCAGAGGTCACATATTCTCACCACTCCTCGCTCCGTCCAGGCTCTGCCGAAGTTCCCTGCTTCCTTGTTAGCCTTTAGCATCTCCCCTTCCGGTCCTCTGATGCATGGATTCTCGAACAATATTTGTGCCAATACCTCCTGTTTCGTATGCGGTTCACACCACATTTCCAGTTTAACCTTACTCCATGCCTGGATTACGGCGCTCCAAAACTCAGATTTTACTCTCCTTCTCAAATATGTATCAATCCAAACACACGCCCAGACATCTGAGGGGCGAGTTAGTTGCCATTCTCTACTGAGGATGGCTTCTGCTAATAGGATCCAGTGCTTCTCCCGCTCCTGAGCGGCTCCTCTGTGATTGCCCGAACAACCCATCTTGCCAATATTGCCAAGTTTCTTCTTTCAGGGTCAACCATACCCAGTCCTCCTTCGTGTCTCGGCACACAGATCAGGTCCCATGCTACTTTCGACATCACGGTCACTCCTTCCTCGGCGTATGGCTTCCATACGAATTTCGCAGCTTTCCTCTTCACCACCGCTTGGGTCTTCTTTCCAATTGGCCTGACATTTCCCACATATGTCAGAAGTGCAAATAGAGCCACATTCACTACTAGTGCTCTTCCAAATAAGGAGAGGTGTGGGGCCTTCCCCACATGGACATAGCACTTTGGTTTGAAGTATTTCCTCCTGTCTCAGCGCACATGATGTGAGAGCTATCTGCACTCCAAGGAATCTCTCTGAGTCCCCTGACAGTATTCTCTTCATCCCCCAGTCCACCACTGGTTTGAACTTGTCTGGGAGGAGGAAAACTGACTTAGACCAGTTAATTGCTGCTTCCGATAGGTTCTCATACTGCCTGAGACAGTAGCGCAGTGTCGACATCGATTGTTGTGTGTTTGCCGATACTGCAAGCAAGTCGTCGGCTAATGCTTTGACCTTGCATGCCCGGTTCCCAATATCAAAACCCACAATCTGAGCAAGGTTCCTAATGTTGTTCAGTGGGACCTCTAAGTGCAAAATGAACAGCAGAGGGGCGAGTGGACACCCCTGCCACAACGACCTTGTTAATTGAAACGGTTGAGAAAGGTGACCGTTGACCATAACCGAGGCCGATGATAGTGAGTATAGTGTGATCACCCAGTTGCAGAACATCTCCCCAAATCCCATCCACCTTAGAGATATCAGGACGTACGACCAGTTGACCCTATTGTACGACTTTTCCATATCTGAGAGGAGGACTGTTATATCTAATTCCCCATGAGACACTACTTCTAGCATCTCCACTGTGGTTATGATGTTCTCATAGATGGATCGCCCTCTCACGAAGGCTGCTTGATCATCTTCCACCAAAAAGGGCAGATATCTACCCAATCTTCGAGCCAGCACTTTTGCCAAAATTTTGTAGGACACATTGAGAAGCGAAATTTGTCTCCAATTTCGAATCTCATTTGTGTCCCATTTCTTGAATAAAATAGCAATGATCCCCTGCATGCGCTCACTGGTAGCCTTCCACCCATCTGGATTTCGTTGTACATTTCTGTCAACTTCGCTCCCAATACTGCCCAATGCTCCCTGTAAAACTCCACCGGGAGGCCATCGTTCACGGGGGTTTTCCCACTGGCCATCACCTTAAGTGCTTCCCCCGCTTCCTCTTTCGTAATAGGTCTGTCCAGGTCTAGCCGTCCTTGAGTTGAGAGTCTAATTGTTGTATTGTCCTAGTGTGTGGATCCCTACGTTAGATCTGCATCTGCTCCTTCTCCCGGCCATCGAGTTGTCATAATATCTTTGTAGTACAGTGTCGTGTACCTGCAGATGTCCTTCGGCTGGGTAGCCACTGGTTCTTCCTCTTCGAATGGATGCTTCAGTTCCTTCATCATTGGCCCCGTTCTTGCCGGCACCAACTTTTGAAAGGTATCCTTTGTCATCCTGTTATAAACCTCCAGCCCTTTAACTTTTGTCCTTTCTGCCCAAACCTCGGATTTCTCTTGCTGTTTCTGGTCCCAGATTACCAATTTTCTGACCCTCTCTTTTGCCCAAGTTAGCTTTGAGATTGGATGTTGCTTCATCTTCTCCCCCGCCTATAGCACTTTTCTCCAGCATCTTTCCTCTTCCTTGTTTCTGTTTTGTGCTAAGATTCGAGATAAGACATTCAACATATTGCATAGGATTCTGGACCCCACCTCCCACCAGTCTGCCAATGTGGCGAACCTCTCCTTTTGATTCTTCCATCTTCTCCAATAATCCTGTGTCCATTGGTTGAGTTCCTTATCTCTGAGGTTCAGCACATTTAGCTTGAAGTATCCCTTGCCCCTTGGGTTCTCCTATCCGAAGTTGAAGACTCCTACCACTGGTTTATGGTCTGAGATTGGGTTGGAGCTTTCTGCAATACCAATCAGCCTTCCTCTGGTATCTCCTCCTGTAAGGATGTAGTCCAGCCGCCTACCTTTGCCCTGGTGTGTGAACCAGGTGTATCCCTCCTCTGCTGGATGTAGGTCCTTAAATGCGTCATGTACGTCTATGTCCGACATAAAGTCCACTAGAGCTAGGACATCTTTCGGGCATCCCTTCGCCGCCTGATTCGGGAATGCATCCAGGGACATGTTTCAGTCCCCACCAATCACTAGCTCGTCCACGTCCGACAGGGATCCTCGTAGTTCTTCCAGGAACGAACACCTCTCCTTTCTATCCACTAGCGCATAGACAGCAGCCACGGCCCATCTAAACCCACCTTGGTTTAGGATCACCCAAGCCCACCCGCCCCACAAGTCTGAGTGATAGTCCTCGATTATTGCTTTTATTCCGGTGGATTGGTACTCCCACTCCTCCCCTCGTTCCCCTCGCTGCTGCCCAGATTTGAGGGTCATCCCACCATCTCCCCATCTCCCCAATCTTCTCATTGTTTAGCTTCGTCTCCTGAAAGCAGACTATCGAGATCTTGTTTTCGTGTATCCATGCTTTGACCCTCACTCTCTTGCTTCTTCCGGTTGTGTCCCCGAAACCCTGAAGGTTCCATGTTGCCACCTTAACGTTGCCCATTGAGAAGGCTTGTTCCCTGTTGATCTTGGATGTGGGCTTGGCTTGGTCTATCACCTGTCCAACTGGCTGTGAGTGTCTCCTTCATGAAGGCAGAGTCGAGCTTCTTATCCTTTGGGAGCCTGCTCCTGATTTCTGATAGTGCTTCTGCAATTACCATTAGTGGCTTGGCTTCTGCAAACACCGAAAGTGGGAGCATTCGCAAACCCAATGCTTCTAATTCTGAAAGCTTCCCTTCGGACAGTCTTGCATCCACCAAGGGAGCATAGATCTTTATCTTCCCTCCGGAAGGACCTAATAGGATCCTCGGCATCGCCACTTCTGGAATAATTCGCATTGGAAAGGCGTTTAAGTACAGGTTTTTCAAGCACTCCTCAATTTCTACTGTCGTCGGCATCTCCGTTACTGCGTGCCCAAATATGGTCAAAGGTTCCAAACCTTTCTGCCACGTAACTACCCATTGGGTGTTCCGCATCGTTGTACACACCAATGGAACAATGTATTGCGAGAAATCAGTGTTCTGTCCCTTCGTGGTTGCAAGGCGGCGGTCTCTCGTTATTTTCTGACCGGGTAACCCTAGACCTCTCTCTTGAGCTACTGACTTCCCCGAGCCACTCTTCGACAGTCTTGACGTTCCTGACGGTTCCGGCGTGAGTGCGACCTGTGATGCTGTACTCAGACGCCTTTGCTTTCCTGGATTTCAAGTCTTTGCTCCTGACTGGGAGCTCTGCCCCTTGTTTGCCATTCCTCTTGCTTGGGTCCCTCCGAATAGGGGAAATGGGCGTATCGGTATTCGAACCTCCGGCTGTTGCTGTTGTAATGCTTGCGAAATTACTGCTCCTACTCCGCTTGCTCCTTGCTGCCCCGCCTGCGTCCCTTGTTGATACATCATTGGAGTCGTGCCTTGTCCGCCCATCATGCCCATCCAGAGAGCGGGGTGGATTCCGTTTGCTAACAGCCATTCCGAGGTTACTCCTCCTTGCCATGGCATTGGATGCACACCTTGTGGCTGAGCGAAACATGTGCCTCCCTCTCCTCCTCCCATGTTCATACCACCTAACATCTGACCCATCTGAGCTGACAGCCCTCCTCTTGTCTGACCCGTTCCTCCTTGTCCGTCTAGGGGCGGAATTCCCCTTGCTTGATATTGACCATTTAGTGGCCCATGTCCCCTCTGCTGCCCTCCCCCACCCCCTTGCGGGGAGAATGTCGGGTTCACTCGGAGTTGTCTTGCGTGCACACCGGATGGTTGCCTTGGCGTTCCCGGTCTTGGGCCCATCGGACCATGGTATCCCGACACTTGATTGCCTCCATTCGACAACGTTGTCGGTCCTTGCTGTTGTCTGTGAATTTGCTCCGACTGTACTGTTCCTGTTTCACGTGGCCGAGCTCCTCCTCCCTTTTTGCAATCTTGTTCGGTGTGGAAGAATTGCCTGCAGCTCCTACACTTCAACGAGTCTGAGCAGGCCAGTTTGATCTCCAGGACGTCCCCTTTCGTCGTTTCCACCCATAACACGTCCTTCATGTTTGGACGGGCTTCAAGTTTGAGGTCGAATCTTGCGTTGACAAGTGCTGGTCTCTGTGGATCTGCGTCCGTAGGATGTGCTAAAATTATCTTCCCAATGGCCTTTTCGACCTGGGCATAGATAAACGGCATGTCATCCAGTGGCACTTGTAGTGCCATCACCCAGAACGTCCTATCTTCCTCCTGTCTTCTTACCTCCCTAAATTATGGCCTAGTCATCCATGGTTTAAATAGAACTTTGTACGTCTCTAAACCTAATGACACCTCCACCTGCCCCTCCGCTTTCATGTAATCTGCCACCTCTCTTGCCCTTGCTACGTATGAGGCCACCCCGGGGCCCTCAATTTTCAATCTCCCTCTCCGAGAATTTTCTTGCAAATTTGCGTTGCCGATTAGCCAACCATCCTCAAACACTCGGACTAAGTCATCCTTTATGTTTTTGGCCAGAAATTTTGCTGCCTCTTTAAATATCATTGTTACCGTACGTTCTTTTAGCCATTTGACTTTAATTTCGTCCAAGGATGTGTTCAATTTGAACCTTACCTCTCTCCCTTCGACCACCATCTCCCCTTGGTCTATCTCCAAGGGGTAGACCCCATCATCATAGCACGTAGTCAACAGACTCCTGATTCTGTCCTCATCCTCCCAGTAATCTCTCCCTTTTTGCGGGCCTGGAGGGGGGGATCTCCCCATTCCCTCTCTTCCTGGTGTATTCTCCATCTCTATAGTCTCACCTACACTATGCGTGTTATTAACTTTCGTTCCCTTCTCTCGCGTTGTCACACTGATACCTTATCTTCTTCGCTGACTGGGTTGGTTGGGTTGCGCCTCCTCCACCTGGTCCTCCACGCCTATGGCGTCGCCATATCCTTTCTACAAGGAGAGAGGGTGGTGGGAGTACACCGCAACGACATCGATGCTGGCATCGCCGCGGATGGCGGCTCGGTTTCTACCGAAACCGGTTCACGCGTGGCGGAGCACTTAGCGCCCGTAGCGCAAGGTTCACGCGGCCCCACCCAAGTGCCTCCCTCGTAACTTATTGAGAATGAATTGAGTACTGTTATTAGGGAAAAAAAAAAAAAAAAAAAAACCACCAGTACCTCGCCCTGCTAAAAATTACCGACGTGGTCATTAACCCGCCGCATTGGACAGGGGTCGGCGGAGGAACGACCGGAAATGACAAACTAACAACAACAACAACAAAACAAAACGGAACAACAGAGAAAAGCAACGGGTGTGGGCCGAAGAGGGTGAGCGCGCGCGCGCCCGCGAGAGAGAGAGAGAGAGAGAGAGAGAGAGAGAGAGAGAGAGAGAGAGAGAGAGAGAGAGAGAGAGAGAGAGAGAGAGAGAGCACATTCAATGCGGCAAGCTGCGCAACGCGCCACCTCTCTGGGTGTCGCTGGATTACTCTTGACATGCGCAAAAGACAAAAATCATGGCGGTGTATCTTTCCATGTTCTATCGGAAGATTCACTCTCATCTTGCACATTTCGAAAGTAGTTGAACAAGACTCTCTCTCTCTCTCTCTCTCTCTCTCTCTCTCTC